GTGAACAACATTCGTTTTTATTTTGCAAAATAAAAGGAGATAAAAAGGAGAAAACCAATCAATCGGCTTGGCCCTTGGACCTGGCCAGAGAAATTCTATGAATTTTTGAACGGTCGTTCCAATCGATCGCGTCCCATTGCTCCTTCTGCTTCTGCCTCTTCTTTGTGTCTCGCTTCTTTGCTTTTACCGTTGCACACACACACACACACGTATGTATGCTTACTCCAACGGCATTTTTCATGTGTTTTTTTAATGTTTTGCGCCTAAAATTCATTCATCGACAGCGATGTCAGGATGAGGGTTCACCATCAAAGCCTATTTCCAACAGCTCTACAGCCGTTTACCGTTTACCGTTATAGCCCACGTAAAAATATCTCTCATCTCTCACTCTCTCTCTCCCTCTCCCTCTCTCTCTATAAATATCGAACATCATCATCAGCATCATCCCCCATCTTGTGGTAGGCCCATGTCCTTGATTATGATATCCCCTCCCATACCCCTTTACACACGCAACAGCATAAATAATTCCCACTCCAGTCTGCTCCATTGATTCAAGCAGTAATTTCTTGGGAACTTTTAAAGTGAACTCCGAATTTAATGGGTGGAAGAAAAGAGGAAACAGGAGAACGATTTTTCCAGTAGCTTAAAGGGCGTTCAGGTTCCATTTGGTTTGCCGTGGGACATTCACCTCGAATTATGGTGTTGGGGTCTCGGGTCTCAAACGTGCCACAAGCCACTTAAATCTATTAACGCTGTGGCAAATGCTATTAGCTGTCCATTCGCCTGGATCGGGGGAATCGTTTTAATTAATAACTAATGCTGCCAGCCAGCCAGCCCTCTGTGTTCTGCCCTCCATCCTGTTTGCCTAGATGTCACTTTTGATATTGACAGCCTCGACATGCAACATGTGTGTCCCAGCTGGAGTCGATGTCAGTGGCTATTGTTGTGGATGTTATTTTAATTTAATAAAGCCCGCGACTTGGCAAAGCTTTTTCTTCATAATGAAAAATTCCAATTCAATTTACTTGAGTGGTTTTCGAATCACTCGCCCGCACTGGCCACGATTCGGAGTCCGCTTTTTGCCACTTTTGGAATGCTATAAGAAATCTTTTCTATTTAATTGCAGGCAACACCAGATGGGGCCTGGGCAAGGCCCTCGAGGGGCAGGACAACATTTGCATGACTCAGGAATGCGTGAGAACAGGTATGCTGCTCGGGTTACCACTGGACATGGACATGCAGTAGTAGTGCAAGGGGAACGACGGCTGAATGGAAATGACAGTGAAAAGGGTGCCAGGGATTTGCACAATCATGGAATGTTTGCCATTTATTTGTCCATCATTTATTTATTTGCCATTAAGTTGGTTTAGTCCTTTGAGCGAGCGAAAGCCTGGACATAAACGTTCAATTTAGATTCAAACACCTCCTCGAAGCGACTCCCACGAACTTGGAGCAAGAGCAGCTACTGGGATATTCATTGAAAGACAATTACCAAAGGGTGCAATCAGCAGAAGACAACGGAATGGAATGGCACCCATACCCGTAGACCTACCCGTACCAATTAGCGTTACGGTTTCTGGGCCGTTGACGATTGATTCCACTTGTGTTAGCCTACTTTTTGGGGCAGCCAGAGGCAGTGTCCCACAGTGGGACAGTGGGAATGCCAACAGATGGGCCGCGATTTAACAACAATTATTCGACATGCATGTCCAAGGATGTGTCCAACATTCCCTGATTAGGCCGCTCCCAGTGTTACTTTCCACTTTTTAAGTGCAACCCACTCAAGGTCTGCCACAAAACAAGTTCTGGGGAAACTTTTGCGTCTGCAAAGGGGAAACTTTAAACCGCAGCAGCCGCAATGCAATTGTGTGGATAGAAAGGAACAGGGAGCAGCAGCACCAACTGTGTGTGGGTGTCTTATCGCTTATCATAAAACTTTTTGGCGCATGATTTGTTGGGCAAGTTTTCAGCCAGAGTGCGGCTTGCTATCAGCGGTTGGGTGGGTCGGATGACAGCTGAATGAGATCAAGGTGAATTATGGGCCGTGGCAATTAATGGCCACAGCTGAAGCGTTTCCCAAGATACCCAAGAGTCGAGACAGACCGTCTGACATGTTGATTTACCATCTAAACAGCGGCTTCCCTGCTCTCGGCCATGGACCTGACGGCCGATCCCTGCGAGGACTTTTTCCAGTTTGCCTGCGGCACCTGGAACAAGGTGCATCCCATACCCGAAGATCGCAGCTCCATCAGCACATTTGAGGTGAGCAGAGATTGACATTGGGGCCTCGTGGCTTGAGCTTCTTGTTTCACTCTCCACAGGTGCTCTCCGATCAGCAGCAGGTGGTCCTGCGGGGTGTGCTCGAGGAGCCGATCGATGAGCGCGACAACCAGGCCACCACCAAGGCCAAGACCTTCTACAAGAGCTGCATGGACATACGTGAGTTTAACCACAACAAAATGGAGAGTTAACTCATCAGTTAGCACTTGTTTCCGCCACAGCTCAGATACGAAAGATCGGCTCGGGGCGGGTCAAGCAGGTGCTGAAGTCTCTCGGTGGCTGGCCGGTGATCGAGCGGAACTGGCAGCCACCGGCCGAACTGTCGGTGGAGAAGCTGATGGGCCACCTGCGGCTCAACTACAGCGAACCGGTGCTGATCGAGCTGTATGTGGGGGCGGACGACAAGAACAGTTCGGTGAACATTCTGCAGATGGACCAGCTGCAGTACGCTCTGCCCTCGCGGGACTACTACCTGAAGGAGAGCAGCGCCAATGATCGGAAGGCCTACCATCGCTACATGACGCAGGTGTCGGTGCTGCTGGGCGCCAATCCGGCCACGGCCGCTGCCGAGCTGGAGCAGGTGGTGCTGTTCGAGACGCAGCTGGTGAATGTCTCGCTGGCCGAGGCGGACCGGCATGACACGAGCGCCGTTTACCGCAAGATGACGCTGCCGGAGCTGCAGCAACTGGTGCCGGGGGTCAAGTGGGAGGAGTATCTGCAGACGGCCCTGGGTCCGGGCATTCCTCTGCAGACGGATGAGCCGCTGGTCACCTACAGCCTGCGCTATCTCACCGACATGGGCAAGATATTGCGGCGCACCGATCGTCGCGTCATCCACAACTACATGCTGTGGCGCCTGGTCATGTCGCTGATGACCCACATGATCGACGAGTATCAGCGGGAGCGTGTGGAGTTCCGCAAGATCCTAATGGGCATACAGTCGGAGCGCACGCGCTGGTCCCAGTGCGTCGAGTGGACCAACAAGAAGCTGGGCGTGGCCGTCGGCGCACTCTTCATACGCGACAACTTCAACCAGGAGAGCAAGGAGGTGGCCCTCGAGATGATACACACCATTCGGGCGGCATTCAACGAGCTGCTGGCCGAGAACGACTGGATGGATGACGAGACGCGGGCCGTGGCCAAGGAGAAGGCTGACTCCATGAACGAGCGAATTGGCTATCCCGAGGTGCTCACCAATGTCACCGAACTGGAGCAGGAGTATGTGAATGTGAGTGGTCCAACCTTGAGTCAATAAGGAACCCTATAATCCGCCATATCCTTTTCCTTTGCTCCTTCAGCTGACTGTTGTGCCTGACAATTTCATAGACAATGTGCTGAGCATCTTGCAGTGGGAGTCGCAGAAGCTGCTGCATCTGCTGCGGCAGCCGGTGGACAAAGAGAAATGGACCACAGAGCCGGCGGTAGTGAATGCTTTCTACAATCCCAACAAGAACGATATAGGTGGGTGGCTCCAGACTTTCCTTCTCTTCGCGTTCACACTTAAGATCTCTCCCATTTGTTTGGCAGTATTTCCTGCTGGCATTTTGCAGCCTTTGTTCTACAGCCAGCACTTTCCCAAGTCGCTGAATTATGGCGGCATTGGTGTGGTGATTGGACACGAGATCACCCACGGCTTCGATGACAAGGGGCGGCAGTTCGACAAGGAGGGCAACATGATGCAGTGGTGGAACAATGCCACCATTGAGGCATTCCGCGAGCGCACCCAGTGCGTCATCGATCAGTATTCACGCTACAAGATCAACGAGGTGGACATGTTCATGGACGGTCGGATGACGCAGGGCGAGAACATTGCCGACAATGGTGGCCTCAAGCAGGCCTTTAGGGTATGTCTCGCCTCGCTGCCTCTCTTTCCCTGCTCTGATCTGTTATCTAAACCGCTTTGCAGGCCTACAAGAAGTGGGAGAAGCAGCATGGCAGGGAGCTGCAGCTGCCCGGCCTCAATATGACGCACGATCAGCTCTTCTTTCTCAACTATGCCCAGATATGGTGCGGCTCCATGAGGCCGGAGGATGCGCTGACCAAGATACGCTCCTCGGTGCATTCGCCGGGCTTCGTTCGGGTTCTGGCGCCGCTCTCGAATTCGCGCGACTTTGCACACGCCTACAGCTGCCCGCTGGGCTGTACCATGAATCCCGAGGAGAAGTGCAGCGTTTGGTAGACACACACACACACACACAGCAGAGAACGTTGATGGTTTTTTTTTTATATATTTATATCGCATAATATATATATACAAATACCAATACTGTAGGAAGCAACATCCCAATCGTAACTCCATTCGGTTTTTGTTTTTTTGTGTCTCGTTCTGTGTTATTGTTGTATTTTTTTTTTTGTTTTTTTGTTGTAGTAGTAATGAGTAGTAACGTGTCTATGCATTATAGATGGCATTCTATGAGAGCCCACAAGCCGCACTTTCCGCACACACACACACACACACACACATCAAGCCCGACACACACACACACACCCGAAGAGCGTCCGACGAGAAACGGATTATATTATATTCGTGAATAAAGAAACCAAGAAAGAAAAACCTAAGCCAAGGGATTGATTGATTGCATAAGACAAACAACATACATGTCATGTGCATAACGGTGCACACTGCTGCTGCTGGTTACTCTTGAATTGATTAGAGAATGCCGCGAAACATTACTCTGATGCGTAGAGCTTGACGAATCAGGCCTACCAGCAACGATGCGTAATGTCTACGATATGTTTGTGCAGTTTTATTCTGACAGCAATATCCATTCGTCACAGACTTAGCTACTAGGCATACACATGTCTTACATCAAAATTAGTTCTACGCTGTGTACAGGATGTGTATAGTTGCATTCTAACGATTATAGTTAATGTACATAAAACAATATTCCATATAAAAGGATACACCAATTATCGTTAAAACAGTCAACATCAAGAAGGAGGAGTTGGAGGAGCCGTTTGGCTCCCCCTGGTAGCACTGGAGTTTTCGGTTTGGAAGCTACAACAATACTTTCCTATAAACTATAGACATATACAGATATAATTGCACATTCCAATACGTAAGTTCTGCCTGGATTGGAATTATCACACATGCTTATTCTCCAGCTGCATAGCGATGCTCTCCTTAGGTACAAGGCGCTCTACCTGGCGCCGGAATTGCCGCTAAGTGCGCAGTGAGGCACTGAGTGAGCTGCGACGACGACCGGAGCGCGACCAGCTCTGCTCCTCGGCACTGGCAAAGATTAGATAGATAAAGTTGCCGCCAATGTTGAGGGCCGCGGCCAGCCAGAAGACAATGTGCCACTGGGTGAGGGTCTCGCGGTGATTGATGATCAGCCCGATGACATAGGGGGCGAGGAAGCCGCAGATATTGGCCGCCGAATTGGTGATGCCATACATGGTGCCCGCGTAGCGTGGACTCAGGGCAATGTGATTCATCTGATTGCCGGCGTAGACGGCGCCGCCAAAGGAGCCGACGCCCGCCAGCATGAAGGTGACCCACACCCAGTCGCAGCCCACGTAGATGATGCCAATGAGGCCCAGCGATGGCACGACGGAGGCCACCGTGTTCCACAGCTTGTAGGAGTTGAGCAGCGAGATGTAGCGCCGGGCCAGCATCCAGTCGGCCAGGGCGGAGCAGGCGATGCCCACGAACCAGGCGGTCAGGTAGGGCACAGCGTTGAGCAGGGCATTCGACTGGATGTCAAAGTGCAGGATGTTGCTCATGTAGGTGGGCAGCTCCGTCAGCTGCGTGTAGAAGGCCCAGCCCTGGCCGCACTGCGTCAGCAGAATGGCCCACAGCGGCACCGATGTGAGCAGCGAGCGCCAGGGTATGTTCTCATCCATGTCTCCATGTCGCAGCCGAACGCCAGCATCCCCGTTGCCATCGTCCTCTTCCTCATCTTCCTCCTCGTCTGCATTCTGGCTGATCAGCGACTGAGTGCGAAGACTCCTCTCGATGTACTCCCGCTCCTTGATGGAGATGCGCGGATGCAGGCTGGGCCTGTCGTACACCAGATACATCCAGCAGACGAACCACAGGATGCCCAGCAGCCCAAAGATGTAGAAGGCCGAGGGCCAGCCGCCGAGAAAGTCCAGCGAGCAGAGCCATCCGGCCAGGGGCATGGAGATCACGGTGCCGATGTTCGAGCCAGCATAGACGATTGCCGCAAACTTGTTGCGCTCCAACGGCGGTATCCAGTGGGCCAGCATTGCGTGCATGGCCGGATATGTGACGCCCTCGCCCATGCCCTCGAGTATGCGCACCAGGATGAGCAGCGGCAGGTCCCAGCGTGCCGCCAGCGGCGTGAGGAGCGTGAAGATGGCCGTGACCAGCACACCGTAGCCGTAGATCAGTTTTCCACCAATCAGCTCGGCCATGCGTCCGCCCGGCACTTGGGTGAGCACGTAGCCGTAGAAGAAGCTGCCCAGCACCAGGCCCTGGGTGGCCTCGTCCCAGACGAACTCGCCCTCGGGCATCCGGTGGCCGCTGTCGTTGCGCCCCGGCTCCGGCATGGGGCACGTGTCATCGTCCACCACAGACCCGTTGCTGTGCGGAATCGCCGTCTGGTTGACCATGGCCACAATCGCCACCGACAGGTTCACCCGCATGGCATAGACCACGGCGAAGCCCAGGAATCCCATCAGGCCGAAAATGTGGCGTGTCTTCAGGCCGCAGCTATCACGGCCCTCGACTGTACAACCAATGGTTGTGCGGGGGGAAGGGAGTGGGAACATTGTTTAGAGCATTTTATCTAGCAACAGGCCTTATCTACTTACCCCCCGCTGCGGCCGCACCGCCAACGCCACCGCCGCCGCCCCTAATGAGCGGCCTGTCGCCAGCGCAGAACGCCTCCTGCTCGTCGTCGGCATCATCATCGTCGTCGTCGTCGTCGAGGGAGGAGGAGGAGGGGTGCCGCCTGTTGGCAGCATCATCCGCGTCCGCGTAGTAGCAGGAGGCGTCGCGCGTCTCGTCCGTCCACTTGTGCGGTGGCATTGTCGTGGCAAATTGCTGTCTTCGATGTTTCTGCTTCTACTGCTTGCTTCCACTTCTCTTGCGGTTGTTACTGTCCCGTTGGTGTGATGGCTGATGTTTCAACTGCTTAGTTTTGAGGCTTGTGCAATTGCCAGCTCATTTTCTCTTGCTTTTTGTCTTATTTTTGCGGAAGAACGGGAATCGAATTAGACGCGGTGCGGAGCGGAGTGGAGGCCAACAGCACTGCGAGCAGACAGACGCCTTCGTCAACAGCTGGAGCAACAGCAACAGCCAAAGCATAACCCAAACAAAAGTGGCCACCAATGGTTGAGCGAACAGTCGCTTCCCTCTCTCTTCTAATGCCACTCTCTCTCTAATTCGCTCCGACGCTCTCTCCCTCTCTCAGCACTGCTTTTTGTGAGAGCGTACGTACTCCGCGAGCAGTGTGAAAGTAGAGCAGCAGCAACAGCGCTACGTCACCCGGAGGTGGTGTAAGAAAGGGCAAGAAAGAGAGAGGTTGCAAACGTCGCACTTTAAATATTGTTGTAAAGTACAACATCTTTGTTTAGTTACAGTTTATGTACTTCCCACTCACTCACTCGCGCGCGCACACTCACTCACACATGCAATGGGAAGATATGATGTATCTACTTGCACTGGAATATACAATTTGTATTGAAATATTTAATTAAAGATAGCCGAAACAAAGGGGCAATTTCCGAGTAAGCCAAACAGAGAGAATAACCCTCTGCTCTGCCTTAACGACAACCAATACAGACAACAACGATTATGGTTTAGTGGTACACACACACATACAATGTGCATGCACATACAGTACTTATGTACTGCATGCACTGCTTTGACTTGATTTAGACAGATTCTGCGCATGCCCAAGGAATGGCCTGTTGCATGCGAGGAATCCCTGACCTGACGTACGATACTTTCCACAGATATTTCCGCAAAGGTTCGGTCATGCAACGCGTGTATTGAACAATTATTGGTATAAAAAATAGTTACAAAAGGAGTGCTACATATGTATGGCATGATTGATCAAGCACCTTGTGGAATAGAAATCGGCTCCCAGTCCAACTCCAGCTCCAAATTAGTTGGCGAATATGGTGCCCACCGGGAAGACGACGATCCGGCGCTTAGAATTCACTGTCAGCGTCTCGTAGTGATAGCCCTTGACCAGGCAAACATCGTTTCGGTTGCCCTCGAACGCCGGTCGGATGGGGCTCAGATCCGGGTTGAAGCAGTTGATGGTGATGGTGTCGACGGTCAGTTGACCGAGCACTTCGTAGGCACAAGCTAGCTTCTCGTTCCAGATGCTGACCCGGGCATAGGGCACAGATTCCTTCACATTCACCTGCGTGGCCTCGCGCGCAGTGCGGAAGGTGTGCAGCGTAATGGCGCCGGTAGGACCCGGCTGTCCCAGATAGCTGCTCGAAAAGTCAGACACCAGCAGGGGCGATGCATCGGCTGGGACATCTCCCTCAGCTTTGACCACTTTGGCGTTGAGCTGCTCGATCTGGGCCAGGGTGCGCACATAGCTGGGATTGCTGGCCACCTGTGGCTCCAGTCGCTTGAGGTTCTGTGCCACCAGGCCCACAAACTGTTCCCGCACACTCTCCTGCACCAGCACCGTGGCCACGGCTCCTTCCGCGAACGGGTTCTGCAGCGAGTCGAGCAGGTGCTGCCGTGCCGAGTGCAGGTCCCCATCCTCGAACAAGATCATTAGCTGGGGGGACCGCCACGTAGCAGCCACGCTTCCATCTTGAGTCCCCGAAATCTGGAATTCAAAAAGGTTGAGTGTCAAGGTTATGTCCGGTTTATCGATGTAGGGTCCGAATCACCTTCGCCTTGGACTCCGGCGTCTGCTGCAGCTTGTTGACCATGTCGCTGGTGATCGCGGGCTGGAGTGGGCTGAGTACTTTCTTCACCGGCACGGACTTGTTGGCCATTCCTTGCTCTGTTCGACGAATTTCACAAAGAAATTGAAACCGAATCTAGGCGTCACCGCGCGTTGTCTGATCGCGTTATCAGCAGCTCTCACACGCATGTACACACACACACACACACACACACGCAGAGAGCGCCAGAACATAAACACACGCACGAACTCAGCTGGGGCAGCCCCCACGCGAAGGGGGAATACCCCCAACGCAGGCAACTCCATTGAAATTGATCACAAACACAAGAAAATGCGAATTGGAAGACGAAAAAAATATTTAAATTGCCTGCAACATGTTCTGTACACGTTTTGCAGCACTTTTCGATGTCTGCCAGTGTGCAGCAAATGTGGTCACACTCTTTATTTGTTTTTAATGACAAATAATGTGCATCTGGGCATAAAAATGTAAATAAAATGCATATCTAAGCTCAAATAACAAGTGCCCGGTTCTTTTTCACCAACCTACCACACGCAATTAAGGAAACGCACAAACATCTACAAAAAAAATACCAAGCACAATCACCTTGCGGCGTCTGACAGCACTCTGCCTGATTCAATTAAAAATCGCGCCAAAGACAAAAACATTTCATAACACTAGACAGAATTACGCCACCGACTTCGGCGCTGGCGTCGCTGTCGACGTAGCTGCTGACTCATGTTATAACCATAGAAGGAAAGGTGTGTGGGAGCAATCTCTAAACTGAGTTACCAAAAGTAACCAAATTCAAGAATGAAAAAAAAAACAGAGAAAAATGATTCTCTAACAAGGCTTGAACTTGTATCTAGATATCTTATCTGCCCTAAGTAACTAGTTATGCTTCGATAAAGAGGCTTGTCCCTACCTAGTTCCGTTGCACCATGGGGGGGAAGAACGTAGCCATGATGCACCTATATAAGGTGGTTCCGTATGCAAAACGGCACCCCTAAGTGCGAGTAATGGTGTTCTTCGTGGTAAATGTGAGTGAAACGACAATGGAGTGTGCCGATTAGCCCTTGATGGCATGGGGCTTAAAGTTGCCCACTGCAAGAAAATTAGTTAAAGTTTTCTGTTTTATTTTGATTTTTAGTAATTTACAAACTATAATAAATTAATTAAGTTGCTTAGGCATTCAATTTTAAAACAAATTCTAATATACTTTCTGCAAGAACTGAAAATATTTGTGAACAAAATTCGTCCGCACACACCTCTCACGTCGACAAGCAATCCACTGAACGCTAGGGGTGCGAAAACGAAGCGATTAGGCAGACGTCGGAACCACCTTTTATAATTGCATCATGGACGTAGGCCGCCGCTGGGGACCGTTCGGTCGTTCGTCTGGCTGTGCCCCATGCACAGTCCAAGTTAGATTTAAATTGAAACCGCTCGTGCTCTGTTCGTCGCTCCCGCTTGCCGCTGCAGAATAATACTTATAAATCCAAATATTTTTTTTTTATCCACCTATATTTCTGTGTACCTGTTTGTGTGTGTGCGTAGGCGTTACGGTTGTCCGTGTGTTACTGCTCACTGCCCCCGCAATTAAAGTAAATTCCCACCTGCCCCTTTGTGGAAGCAAGGAAGACCAACAAGTGCTCACACTCATGCGCCCAAGTGCATCAGTGTGCCACTTGCATTGCCCGGAGAGTACGTTCAACCAATTGAAAGTGAATTGAAAGCGACAAGTGAAAATAGATCTGACTAGAGGCGGCAGCAACAGCAGCAGCAGCAGCGGTAGAACAGTAAAGTGACAGCAACAGCGACAGCGACGGGGACACAAAGTAGAATTTAGCAGTTTTTTTTGCACTAAAATAACAAACAGCTGTCTGCGCGACAGCGTGTAAGCGACAGAGTGTGTGTGCGTGCGTGTTGTTGTTGTTTAGAAGCGTAACAGGTCCGCCTGCGTGGGAGAGCCAACAGAGAGCGAGAGAGGAGAGAATAGCTGACTCGTGTGCACAGCTGCATCTCTGTACACAGCATCAGAATGACCGACCTAAACGAATTGCTGGGATCGCCATTTGTGCGCGTCAAGGTAAAGCAGTACTCCTCACCCCACACCAGGCCGCTGCACGCCACGCCACCCCCCACAAAGCCAGTCCACACTTGGTGGGCTGCTTTGCACTGCTTTGTAGACCGTCCTGGCTGGACCCCGCCCCAGTTGCAACGGCTGATTAGCACCGTCCAGCGTGAACAATCCAACCGCAGGGGCATCCAATATCTTCGACAGCGACTCGAGTGTCTGCGTCTCAATTTGCAACTATCCAGAAGCCGCCGCGACTTCGTGGGGCTTCAATTGACACTCCAAACGTCTGGGGCTTGATCCGCTTACACTAACTCTATTTGCCTCTTTGTCTCCCTCTTGCAGTTGGTAGCGTTTGTGCATTTCTTCTTCATATCGAATGCCATGCTGGGCAGCTGGGGGCATGGAGCCTATGAGTTCTACAATTTTCTGTTCATCATTTCCATGTTCTGGTCGATCCACAGCAAGGACTCAATTGAAGCAGTGCAAACGGTAAGTACAAACAGCCGTAGAGATGGCAAGTGAAAAGATAAGACTAACTGTGCATTCTTAAGTGTATCCGATCGGAAGGGGGGAGTGGGACTGTTGAGCGTTAAATTGTGAATGAACTGAAGCTGCGCTGCCATTGGTTTTGCCAGATTACTCCATTTGGTGACACATTCACTCACTCACACCCTAAAGAAGCAGCTGATAAGAAAGTGCACGCATATGTGAATGCTACGACGTATCATCCCACAATTAAAATTAAATGTTCAAGTGCTGAAATTCTCTCACGGCTCTACGACACACATTTTAATCGAAATGAAATTCCGCACTAGTCACATTGATATCGCCACCAAATTGCTAAAACCGGTTCGACGAAACTCTGCCAATTCTCAAATTAACATACAAATAGTATAAGTAATAAATAAAAATACCGAATGTTCTCATTGGAGAAAAATAGTTGCGAGAGCATCTCAACAGAAGCAGCGGCAGAGGCTGAGGCTGTTTCGCAAGAGAGTAGCTTGTCACTCTCTTGCAGCGAGTAAAGAGTAAAGAGCGAGTAAAGCAGTGCAACCAGAAAGCAGTGCTTTGTATGATGCGGGGCAGATACAGACTCCAGCCCGCATCTTTCCATGCCGTGACATTGCCCTGATAAGATATCAAGAATGGGATTATCGTTTATTTTTGAAGGCTTATTCTTAATGATTATTCTGATATACTCTTGAAAAGAGAAAACTTTGAAGCAAAGCTAACAAGGGAAAAGCGTGTTCCCTGCTTTTGGGTTATGGCTAATCAATTTTTTCGCATATGGCTTAGCAGGCAGCCATGCCATGCCACCCCTGCCAAACATAAACCGATGGGCACACGTAAATATGTACATGTGTGTATGTGTGTACATATGTACGTGGTGGCATGCAAATGGAAGCGGATTTATGTCGAATATATGTATGTATGTACGTACGTGTGTGCGTGTGTGAGTACCGTTATTAATAGATGGCTTGGCGGCTACTAGCCAGAAAATAGTTTGCCACTCTCAACTTTGACCTTAGGCCAGCCGAAAAAGTAACGATAGCCTAACGCTAACTGACCAACAGCCACCCCATCCAGACCCCCAAACACCCCACACCATTTACACTTTTTAGAGCCGCAGCCGCACGCGACCTGCCCTCGTTGTTGTTGGATGGTCAGAGGCTAACAAAAACAATATTACTCGTGTAGTATCTGGAATTACAGTTTCATTTCTCCACAAGCCCCCTCTTTTGTTTGGTTCCTTGGAAGCCATTAGCAACGCCTTTTAATCAACTCAACTATGCAGAAGCCCCAACGCAACGAGCCACATCCGAAGCAAATATCCCTTTCTTCTAAGAGGCAAAACCATGAACAAAAATCAATTCATATTATTTATTTAATTCCAAATATGGAAATTGGGCTAACTCGAAGAGGGCGCATGTCGTACATAAATACATTTATGTACATGGTACATATTTACATACATATGTAGAGAGCATTTGAATTGATTGTCTGAACTTCCAATATGAATGCATGACGGGAGATCATTTAATAAATTTTGATACGGAACCATGGGGAAGATTTTCTTGGGTAGATTTCGATTTTATGATCAGGCTGAGGGAAATGCATGTAGATTACACATGTAAATGTAAATATGTATGTATGTATGTACATAAATGATTGGTTCTTGCCTAAAAAGTATTCAAAAGTGACCAAGAGTGAACTGAGTGACTTGACCATGTCATTGCCATGTAGTTGTCTGTGTAGTTGGCATGTAGTACTGCCGCCTCCTCCTCCCCCCGTCAGGGACAGACAGTTGAGTTGAGTATGTAATTATGATAAGTGACATTCCCTCAACTCATGGCTCACCATTTCCTCCAACGTATCTTTGCAGGCGCTCGTCATCGATGCTTCTAGCATATTCTTTGATCTAGTCAGCATTATCATTTATTTCCATTACATGAGTGAGTAGCGTCCAGCATGACATTCCCCACTGCAGCAGCACTCTGTGCACATTTCTGAATGTATTTTGTATATGTTTGTTTGTGTCAACCATTTCAGATGGCTGGGCCATTGCCTTTAGCATTATTAACCTGATCCTGCGACCCGTGAGCGTGGCCCTGCTCTATCGCGAGTTCAATACGCGCGGCGGCAGCCTGCAGACGGGCTCGGTCTTTCCCACCAGCCAGCAGCGCAGCTATCAGGACATCGATCGTCCCACGCAGCCAACACCGACCAACGCGCAGCCGGGCCCCAATGTGGCCAGCATTTTCTAGGCACCAGATCTGACCAGAACACAGAACAACAGCTGCAGCTGGATCCTCTGGGTCGGTTTTGTTCTGTTTATATATTTTATTTCTATTTTATTTCTATTTTTTTTTTGGACGAATAAAGACAACTAATCAGAAATAATCAAGCGACGATCGATCGATGCAGTGTTTGTGGCCAAAAGTATATTATTTTATATTCATATTATTAATATTAACGATTGCAATTTCTACTTAAAAACAATTGTAAAAGTGGGCCAAGCCCCATGTCCTCCTGTACAGTGAATACCCCCCGAACCTTACAATCCCCACCCACCTATGGTATGCCTAGAAGCCCTCCTTGGCCTTGCGGAACTTGTACTGATTGCTGCGCCCATCCAGGCAGGGCACCTGCACCAGATTGAAGTAAATGGAGCCCATCAGCTGGCTGGCCGAGGTATTTGTCTTCTTCAGGCAGCTGAACAGCATGTCGTCGCAGATGCAGTGGGACCTGGCGATCAAATCGAATGAGAACTCACTCAAGATAGATGGCTTCGTGGCACTCACTTGGTGTAGATGGAGTCATTCATCAGGTCGTACTTGGGCTGGTAGGCGCGAATCTTGACCGGGCAGAGATCGTGCTGGCGACAGCAGCGGTCCATGTCCATCTCGCTGCCCAGATCGCTGTACGTCTCCGCAATGTCCCCAGTGCCGCACCACTTGGTGCCTGCAAGGAAAAGTCAAAGTCAAATCGCTTTTATGTGGGTCTACGTCCGTGTAGACTCACCTGGAATAATGCCGCTGAGCAGGGAAAAGGGACTGCGCGGAAAGATGTTGGTGGCCAGCTTGAGGCCATCGGTGCCACTGGCTGCACCGGTTTTATCCGCAACGCTGGTGGTGCCGCTGCTGCTCCTTTCGCCAGTCTCCGCTTTGAGTTTGTGCCGCGAGGCGTAGCTGAGCCTGTCCACGTGCTCACATTGATCCATCAGCTTGAGCATCTCCTCGAACTTGATCTCCAGCGGACGATTGTAGTGGGAGAGTCCATCCAGCAGCATCTTGCCCTCCTTGTCGTTGCTGCCAAAAGCGAACACAAAATGTACAGTGCTCAAAGCTTGATCGATTTTGCTTCCGCAGCACCTCGACAAAGATCCATAGGTATGTACGTGGCCTTAATTCTCATTCATACTCACTAGATTTCGATCAGTTCGCAGCCCAGCAGCAGCTTCTGTGGCCCCAGCTCCGTTACGGCTATGGTCAGATCGTGATAATATATCATAATGAGTGAGTCGTTGCTCAGCCGCTTGCCGCTGTTCCGAGAGAGAGAGGAGAGTGTCATTTATGGGCACATGGCCAGACAGGCACATTGATGGCAGCTACGTGCTGTCCATGGCAATGGCTAAGCTCCAGGTGAAACCATCGACGTGCCGTGCCTTGGCTACTAATTGAGAGCTCCTCTCGCGCTCTCTGCGGACTCACCTGTAGGTCTTCATTTGTCGCACACTGCGCTGCTCGAGTATCTGTTGGGTGAACGATTGAAAGGAGGGAAAGCCCTGCAGTCCCTGTGGCAGGCTGAACGAGAGCGTGGGCTTCGCCGACGATGACGTGAGATAGCCGAGCAGGGCGCAGAGCAGCATCGAGGCCAGCAGCTGGAGCCGGCGCCGCAGCCACAGATTGTAGGGCATACTGGAGGCACGTGGTGAGCACTAGAGAAGCAACTGGTTCTCCTCTGCCAGACCCAAAGGCATCACAGTCTGGTCGGGACTGAGCCGCTCCCAGCGCTGGCGATTCCTGCCCGAAACCTGCGGATTGGTTCCAATATATTGTTATTCTTTAATCAACTCAGCTGTCGCGGTTCTCGGTTCCCTCATTGGACTGAATTATTTAGCCACACATTCGTAGCTAGCCCCCCCAGCTGGCCTCTTTCCCAATGCCCCAAGCCCGTCCACTCCCTTTGTGCCGGCAGGTGCCAAAAACTTGCAACTTCCACTCGCTGGGACTTTTCATTGCTCTAACAATGGCCAGACACGGCATTTGTCATGCATTGCATCAGTGGCCAAGCCCCCAGTCAGCCGAGAACCCATCAGCCTCGCCCAGCCATGCAGCACGTTACGTATACGCACAGTGGGCCACAGCAGAGACAAATGCTGGACAAATTGTTGCGCAACCATTTGCGGATCAAAGAACTGACAATGGGCTGATGCAATGGAATTCCCAGACTATAATTTCCAATCTCATTTCAGGCTCCAAAGCAAATTTGAAGTCACTTCTCCATTTTCATGAGTAATTTTAAAATTCGTTTTTAGCGTAAAAATGGCCCAACGTTGTGGCGAAGAGTTCTTGAATGCCTTGGCCCCACCTCAACTTAAAGTTGCAGTCAATTCTTACATCATGGACCGACCCGTGACATTTTACAAGTCCTTGACCTTAGCCAGGGCCATGGGTCAGCTAGCAAAGCTACCAAAAAGGCAAACCCAACACGCACCACACAAAATGCTAATAAATATTATGTGCCACACGACGCCCACACCTGCCACTGAGGCCCATTGACTTTGGCTGACTGCTAAATATTATTTCTACAGAAAGTTTTACGCAAGCCGGTCAAGATGTGGTGGGACCGAGCATCGGGGCAACGGGGCAACGGGCCCTCGGTGGCGAGCAAAGTGAAAGTGAAATGTTTTCATTGTTTTGGTGGCTCTACTCTGCTCTTCGCCTTGCCGATTTCGGTGCGATTTCAATGGGGGGATTTCAGCCAAAATGTGGCGTGTTTGGCCTCAGTCGCCACACAGATCAAGCTGCACATTTGCATGGCCAGACATGTGTACTTCGAAGCTTAAGGGGTACCTTTTTTATGTGTGTCAAGTGGAGCCCAGCCTGTTGGTTCAATGTTAAACTGAAATGCAAATAGCCAACGAAACGAATATCTTTATCTCACATTTTATGGATCTTTGACTCGGGTTTCGCAACGCTAAAACGAAAACGAAATCTTTGAATTCGTTGGAGGATTTTGTGCAGCTCCAAGCCCACAAATCTGTCAACTCACTGAGAACCAAGACGTGGCGCTGCTAAAACCAGAAATAAATGCCTAAAAAAAAACAAAGATTGCTCTCGAAATTTCGTAGAGTTTTCATCGCTGATAGCGGGTCTAATGGCGGGTCTCAGAGAGCCACGAAGATAATTATAATGAAAGCGTTGGCTGATGGATCTGCAAGGGGAAAGAGATCTGCCATAGAGATCATCGTTGAATGTGAACCGCAGGCGGCCTCCCCACGAGAGTTTCCGGACTGAGCTTGGGCTTGGCCCCAGCATACACTCAACGAAAAGCAAACGAAACTTGGCCAACTTGAACTTGGCCCGAGTAGAGAGTTTAGGAGCAGTTCAAGAGTGCAAAAACATAAAAGAAGAGAGAGAGAAACAAGCAAACGAGCATCAACATACCGCGGGGGCCTTGGCATAGGTCAGTGAAGCGTACCAGCGGCACCACCGACCAGATCTGTTGTCGTGGAAAGGCAGGATGGATGAGCAACAGAAAAAGAAGCAACAGGTTTCATCCGACTGGCAAATGTTTTGGATCGGCATTAACTTTCACATTGGGCACCTAATTGTGGGCTTAATCTTGGTTAATTTGCTCCAGTTTTGATTTCCATTTGTGGCACACGCGATCAGAGCCCAAGACAAGCAAAAGCCAAGACAAGATTCCGCAGCGAAGAAGATGCTTCTACAGCGCATTGGAGATGCGGCCATGTGGATACAGCAGGCACTCTACGCGACACAATTATGCAATGAACGAACGTTGGGGTAGGGTATTCGTGGGTAGATCTGGTCGCACTTCACAACTAGCTGCTAATCAGCCAGCAGCCAGCAAGTTGCGACAGCTCCACCGATCGGGCCATAAAAGGCGGCCCACAGACCACTCCACGAATGGTTGGGAATTGGATCTCCTCACTTTTGAACTCGCGCGCTCAACTTTAATGGGCCAGTCCACCAGACTTCGTTTTATCCACTTCACTCAGAACTATTCGCACACATATAATGTTTCAATCAGTCGAAACTAGTTTCGGTTTCGGCTGGACAGTTTCACTTTTCATCGTGTTCGAACCAAAAACAAGAAACAAAACCAAAAAACTAACCAAAAAAAAAACACTAGGCGCTAACTAGAGTCCGGCGCGCATGCGCAGTGGCAGTAGCAATCGAAATGGCAATGGCAATCGCCGCTTGCAGTAACGGGCAATGGGTAGCCGGAACCACTATCGAAAACGCAATACCGTTCGCTGCCGCGCAAAGTCAGCAACTGATCGATCAAGAGACGCCAAAGCCAAAGCCAAGCCAGACGGCCCAGCCAAGGTATATTCAATCAAAGGTATAAACTTCGCTGTTCACTGCTTGTCGGCGCAGAGCTCGCGCTTGCGGTACTCTCAGTGCCTACCTCACATTATGTATACCTTGGGCGCGACTTCGACAACTACAACGACGAGTGGTTGGGCTCCAAAAACAACAACAGCGAAACGACAGAGCGTCGGCGGCAACGAAAATGTGTCAAAAGCAAAAGCTGCGAGACAACAGCGAAACAAAAAATGAAACTGAAGCACGGCTCATACACGATACGCTTTCTAGCGACGGTTTTTGTTTGAGGAAAAACCGATGGCATTCCGAAATGCATTTCACCGATGCAAACACTTCGACATCAAGCATTTCAATTCCAAGAACAATGCAAATATAATTGACGAAGAGGAGGCAGTGGGAGCAGCCAGACACAACTCAGGTGGTGTCTTGTTTACATAAAGCGCTCGCACATGCACACATGCACATGTGCATCCGATGCAGACTGAGAGAGTGCGCGCGTGAGCAGGTAGCCGCGGGCATGCTAACCTCTGCTGGAGAAGGGAAATGTAACTGCAAGTTTTGGCAGCTTTGCACACGCGCTCATGCACACACGCGCAAAAGCGTCTACCTGAGTGCATTGTGTGTGAGAGAGTAGGCGAGAAGCTGACCCATTTACGGTAACGACGCGCGCGTCTCTCTGCGCTGCGCTGCGCTGCGCCAAATGCTGATCATCGCGATGAAGTTTCCCATCAAAATGACTTGTCGCAAGGGGAGGGGGAGGCCATTAATTGTTGACGGTGAAGTGGCGAAGTGAAAACAAACCCAAACAACTTTTAAAATGTCGCTGCAAGCACAGCGCGCGTACCCGAAGAAAAGTGACAGTGGGGTAAGCAATTAAAACGAGGTTTTACCAGCCGCAAGCAAACACACACATGCACTCGCACACACACAAGGGCACCCAGACAGACGACGATCAAAGGGTTATTGGATGTTTTGCAAGACACTTTCCACGTGTGTGCGCGCGCTTCATTCCCACACAATTTCTCTAAAAATAACACCAAAAAAGCGGCAGCTTCAAGAGTTACATTAACGGGATCCGGCTACGGGCGCTTTCAGGCATCGAACAGAATTTGCGCTCTGAGTCTGAATCTAAGTCATGGCCAGGCCAGAATGTAAACACATCTGCAACAAGGTCAACAATGGGCGGGCACAAATAGAATAGATTGCAACTTCGTCAACCAGAAAACCGAACAAAAAATTGTAATTCTTTTTTTTTTTGTATTTATTTTGAGATTTACGATTTTGCTCTTAAGCAACAGCTAAGTAATGCCAAAAAATTGCTTGCAACATACACATACAGGCGTACATTTTGAATGAACTTAAGTCATACGTTTTCTAGATGTTCACTGGTGACTTTCTGCTCCTCTTCCAAGGCATTTCCACGCATACACGTTGAAGGGTAAATAATTTGCATGTGGGTGGGTGGGTGTGTGTGTGTGTGTGTGTGCGTGCCTACGGCTTAGTTGCTGCATCAACTATTACCGTTATGAAATATCAATCATAGTGTTTGTGCTTCGAATTATACATATTTTTTTGCCTTTTACAACACTTTGTTTCACTTTTCGCCTATGCCTAACATGTACTTGGGGGAAACCTCAAAAATCAAACTTCAAATTTAGCTGCAAAAATGTTTCAATGTTTTTGTTTTGTCCATGGGGAAATATTAACGGCTTATCACCTCAATCACATGTCTAATTTGCTACTTATAAAGCCAAAAGCAAAAAAACAAACAAATTAATAACTTTCTTAGAACGCTGAGCCGACAACTGTCTCGTGCCAGTGAAGTTTTCTACAAACAATTTGCGCACACACACAAACAACGAACAAAAACAAAAATCAACTGAATAATTATTTGTGAAGGAACGATATCAAAGACTATGATATCAGCGAACTAGCAATACTCTTTCTGTCTCATTGTAACTTGCAATCAAAACTTAGCCTATGAGGAGGGGTAGGTTGGGGGCGCGGGTGTGTACTGGACGTATTCAATGGTTCTTAGTAATGAATAGAGGCTAATGGATACGATACCTACTGCTGGCTGGCTGGCTGGCTGGCTGGCTTAGTAAATATTTAACTACACTTCGGACTTAGACTTATTCGATGGAAATGACAAACAAAATAATAAAGAAAACTAATCTGCGTCCGTGCGTCCAGGCAGGACACACACCGGACATACTATTTACAAAAAACCAAAAAAAAAACGTGTATAGAGCAGAGGGATCTAGACTCCCGCCCTGGCCTAGTTCGCCTCCGTTGCCTGGGCGCTGGTGCTGCTCTCGCATGTGTCAAAGAATTTGTTCTTGACCTCATCGATGGAGTAGTCCAGCTCGATGGCGGGGTAGCTGAACTTCTGCAAGAAATAAAACAGAATTGAAACCACTCGAACTCGCATCAATCATGGCAGAAGAACCTACATTCTGGGTTATGTTCTGGCCGCGCAGCATCTGCCAGTTCTCCAGGGTGTGCGCATATTGCAGATACTTCTCAAAGTCATGCAGCGTCTCGTAGACATGACACAGGCCCAGGTAATCGTACTCCAGGCCGGAATATGAGAGACCAAAAAGACGCAGACCTGCACGATGCAACGATACAGAAATTGAGAAAACGAGTTTAGAGGAGCATTAAAGTAATTATAATTACTTATATCGATGCTGCGCAGGTAGAGCTTTTCCGCCTCGCGGTACTTTTTCATTTGGTAGTTGTAGAGCGAGGCCAGGTGGCCAATGGAGAGGCCCACCTCGTAGTCGAAGGGCCCCAGCAGATCTGTTTTGATCTTGATGGCCTTCTGGTGCATACGCTCGGCCTCCTCGAAGCGATTCATTGTCTGATAGAGTCGCCCCAGATTGCCATAATGCTTGGCCGTCTGCACGTTCACCTCGCCGAATACCTGGAGCGAGAGGAGCAGTGCAAAGTTATGCAGCTCCTCGGACTGCAGCAGCAGGTCCTCCTCGTCTATGCCGTCGGCTATCTTGTCCAGTGCAATCTCCTCCAGCAGCAAAGCCTTCACACGCTTCGCCGATGCCAGCATCAAGTGATTGCTGGGCACCAATTTCTTCATAATGCCCACCGCCTTATCCACATGATCCTGGGCGCATTTGAAGTCCCCAGTGCTGTACTCGTGCACGTAATACGCATACGACAGATCCTCGTGTGCAATGGCCACATGGAAGTTCATGTTGCCAAAGATGCCGCGACGCACGCCCAGCGCCTCCTTGTACACGTTCACCGACTGAAACACCGAGTCCACATTCAGCAGGAAGAAGCCATAGTCCAGCAGGGTGTCCCCGTACTTTTGATGATTGCGTCCAAAGTGTTCCCTGTGAGAGTGAGACGACGCATGAGCGGGAGAGGAATAGACAGCCAGAGGCTGAGCTGTAGAGCTTACCGAGCGCGTCGCACAGCCTGACAGATCAACAGATTGGCCCGGGCAAAGTCTCGCTTAACCACACAGGCCTTGGCCGCCTGCCGCAGCACATCGATGGCAATGCTGTGGAGAGAAAAAATGGATTAAAGATTCATAAATCAGAGGGAGAGAGAGAGAGAGAGACACAGAGGCAAAGACACTTACCGCGGCTTGGCCGAGTGCTTGAGGCGACGCATGGCATGCAGGCTCCACATGTGACTGTTGTTGTACTCGTTGCGGGCAAAGAACATGGCCGATATCTGTGTGTAGGTCATGGCCACCAGATCCGAGGGCACACGGTCACTCACCGAGCACTTGAGCTCCATCAGTTCGTTGTAGGTGCGCTGGGCCAGATTGAAGTTACAGTGTGCCGACTCCGCATAGAGCAGGCTGCAGGAAGCAATCAATAAATGTTCAGACATTGAGTATGGATTGCGCGCGTTCGTTGCTGCTTACCGCTGCAGGCAGTCGAGGCGCAGGACTAGCCAGTACTTGTGTCGCGGCAGACGCTTCAGTCTTTCGTTGAGGCACACCAGCACGGAGATGCTCTCCTGCATCCAGCCGGCCTCGGAGAGGAACGAGCCGAGACGCAGGCCCAGATCAATGCCCTGCAGCTCCTCCCCGCTCAGTTCCTCCAGGTCGTCATCAATTGCAGCTGCAGCTGCAGCTCCCAGCTGATCCATGTCAGTGGTAATCACACTGAGTTCAAGCTCATGGTTGGGGCAAATCGGTTGGCTGGATCGGGCACTGGCACTGGCACTGGGGCTGTCCTCGTCCGGCAACGGCAGCGGCAACGGCAACGGCAGCTGGCAGCTGTACTCCTGCTGCAGCAGCTGCTTGGCCTTGTCCTGTTCCAGCTGCAGCTCCTCGGCACCTCCTTCTACCCGCTCCTGTCCGCCTGCCTCTTCCCCATCCGCATCCTCGGCCCGTGCATTTTGTGTGCTGTAGCGCCCCACATAGGCCTCGCTGAGCCGGCTCGAAAGCATCTTTCTGTTGGCCATTAGGGCGGCCACAATGCTGAGCAGTTGGCCGCGTGCTGGCAAGTGGCGCACAAGCCGCGCGAATACCTCCAGGCGTGACAGCTCCTCCAGCAGTGTATCCTGCAGCGACTCCTGCTGCGACATCTATAAAGAAAAGAATTTGAATTAACTCAAAACAAAACAAGACAAATCTCTGGACAATCTGTGGACAATGGAAGTGCGCTTAGACAATGGAATTATCAGCAAGTTCAATGGCTCTTCGGCACAACAGCTGTGCGGCGGCAAGGTCTGCTCGGGCATCATCAGCAGGACAATCCCAACGCCCGTGCCTGCTCTCTGGCTGCTCCCTGGCTGATTGTGGGCAGCTATTTTTAGCCGCCTTGTCGCGCAGCTTCTGTTTATAATTTATGCTTTAATTGCAAGCTTATTATGACAAGATCTTCGCTTCGTGTGTGCACCGCACTTCCCCCCTTTTGGCGACATCCATTCCATTCAAAAGAAATTTACTTGGACTGGAAACTCAACAAGTGGCCAGACAGACAGTGCAGCTACATAGATACATATAATTCTTATGCCAGAGTGCAAATCCGCGAGTTAACGGGCCTTTGCACAGCTGTTTTCTTTTATCTGTGCGCATGTGTGTGTGTGTGTGTGTGTGTGTGTGTCTATGTGTCTGTGTGTGATATCCAACTGTAAGTCTCATAAACATTTTACCGTTGTCAATTACATCAAGCGAAAATCAAAACAAAACAAATCGAAATTTTGGCCAGCGACTACGTTACCGACGACCCGAATAGCGGAAAGACAAGCCCATAGGCGAGCGGGGCGGGGCACACAGATGGGCATGCAAATGATATTTACACACGTCTGGTAATCGCTGAGATGCGAAAACAGTGGTGTCCAGTGGCGAAATACCCAGATAAGCAAGATGAGGTGTGTGGGTGCTGTAACCCCACGCCGAACGATAACGATCGTGAGACGAGTTTGGCCTGCCTGCCTATCTGCATGTTGCATGCAACAGCTGCTGAGCTTTCCACTTACCATTTCGTAGACATCGATAAGCAAATTGCGCGGCAGCTCCGCCAAGCGGCTAATCCGATCCAATGCTGGCACCGTGTTCCCGTCCAAACTGCATATCGATGCGTCCAGGGCCAGATTGTAGAGCAGCTTGGGGCTGGTGTAGTTGGCGGGCGCCGACGGTATGAGATTCATGACTTGATTGTTGTTGGCCATTGCGATGGGACGACGTTGATGCTCTATTCTCTGCAGCTTTCGATACCTGGCTAGGGCTGGGGCTGCAGTTAGAGGCTGGGTCTGGGTGGCGCTCACGTCTCACGGGTCGGGGTGGCAGTCGGGTGCACTCGGCAACAAGTATTCAATTGGATCACACGCACACTTGGGAGGGGGGTGTTAAGGGTCACACAACGCACGTGCCCAGGGCCAGACAGCAAACAAAACAATAACCGATTGGTAGCAGGCAGGGGAAAGGGAAAGCCGTGCGCAGTGTGGCAATCTCTCTGTGGGTGCTCCGGGCTGCTGCTTCGTTCACTTCAATTCACTTTCTTTCAAGACGTTCTCTGATTTTCCTTTCTTTCAAAACAGTGGCTGGTGCTGCTGCTGCTGCTGCTGCTGCTGCTTATGCCGCGGCTGTCATCAACATCGCCGTCGCAGTCGACGCGTTTCTTCTGCCTGCTGGTTGCTGAGAGTTGTGAAGTGCCCCTTTGTTGCCAACTGCAGAGGCTGGCTCTGGCTGGCTTTTGATGGCTTTTTATGGCTTTTGCTGGCTTGGGGCTTACTTACACAAATTCGAAGGCATCTAGCTTGCTCTTTCACGTGTACTGCGGGCCAATCTGGAATATTTTGCTGTTTTTCTGGCCGTGAAACGTAAAAAAACTGACGCAGCCAAATCACTATTTTTTTTTACTTGTTTAGTATTCGATAAGGGCACTGTGACTGAGGAATATACTGACAGCAGACCCTCGGAAATATACCAAAATATACCTTCTCATTTGGAAAATATACCGTCAATATGCCATAGTCTTGAATCGTATTCCACGATTTTGATGTTCCATTTGATATTACTAGCTTGCAAAGACTTTTAACACTGAAACAATAATTTAATCCGATTGAAGAGCCAATTTGCCTCACTACAAATTCTCCTTTTTATTGAATTGTATACCTTATGACCTTATATTTTACAACTTTTTATTTGAATTTGACGATAGCTGACGCGCACAAGCAGTGCAAAAAAAAGTAAGAATGAACTGTAAGTGCCATCGATTGCAGTCGAGTGCAGCCCTGTGCGCGCTTAATTCAAAAGATGCCTAAAATGCTCGAATTGCAAAACAACCTTTTGGTGAGGCAGTTTGAAGCGGGGTTCACGACCCCTGAGATGGTAATTTGGCAAAAAAAAACAGGTTTTTATTTATTTAGAACTTAGAACTATATATTCTCGTATGCTATGCTGTTTGGCTGCCTAAACACTGAACAGATTCGATGGCCGATGGCTACGACCCTTGAGAAATGGAACTGGTGGGTGCTTGAGTGGTGCGGGAGCTCAGGGGGATCACATAAGAGCAGCAGCAGGAGGGCTACTACGTTAGCTTGCCATTGTGCGCTGTGCGATACTTGGCCAGCTGATCCATGTACTCGTCGTGCTTCTCCAGGGTGGCCAGCAGCCCCTCCGTGTTCACCGGCGACTCGTTCGGGCCATAGTGGATCAGTTGGTCGTTGAGTGTGGTCATGGTGCCGCCGAGGGCGTGCAGTATGGCATCGCCCGCACAAATGTCCCACTTCTTGATCTTGGAGGTGTGCAGATAGGCGGTGGCATTGTTGGCCACCACCTGGAGCACCTTGTAGCCAGCGCCGGCGGCCGTCAGCAGATTCACTTGCTCCCCAAATATGCCGCGGGCCAGATCCTTCGCGCCGGCGGTGTGCGAGCGCGAAACGGTGATAATCGGCGGCGAGTCATGCTCCTCGGCGTGCGCCGGATGCAGTCCCGCTAGATACTCCGACATGGAGTTGCCCACCCAGGCCCAGGCCGTCTGCCCGTTGAAGGGACTGTGAATGACACCGATGACAGGACGACCGGCCACAGCCACGCACACCATGGTCGTGACATACTCGTAGAGTTCCTCTGCAAGATCAAACAGACAGAGAGAGAGAGATATGATTAGGGGAAGAGATTCCCTGCCAGCTGCCCGCTTTACCTGTAAACTCCTTGGTGGCATCTAGAGGATCCACCCACACGGTGACATCCTGCGCATTGACCGACACATCCGGCACCTGGGCCGTCTCGTGCAGCACCGTGGGATCCAGATCGTAGCTGTGCGACTCCTTGCAGTGCTCCTTGTCCTCCTCCGAGTAGATGCGAACACGTGGAAAAATGCGCTGCAGTCCCTGCTTCATGACACAGTGGGAGCGGCCGTCGGCATCCGTGAACGGATCGTTGACGCCCTCGTCCGTCTGGCCCTTGCTGCGCTCCTTCAGCTGCCGGGAGCGGGCCACGTCGAGCACCTCGAGACCGCCGCGCTGCGACGCCTGAATGGCGGCGATCAGCATCTTGCGCAGGTTCACCCGATTGGGATTGTCGCTGCGCAGCTTGCCGTAGATCGCGGGCCGCTCCTCCTGGTGGAAGTTTAGGAAGTAGACCAGCACAATGGTCAGTAGGATGGCGCAAATGGTGGCCGGCACACGATTGATGCGTATTGAGCGTCCGTTCATCTCGCTGCTGGTGAAGCTCATCGGTAGCGGGCGGGAAGAGGTGAGAGCAGCGGGGCGGCGGACCAGCGACTAAGCCACTGCCAGATCACCAATATCTATGATGCTGTATCTCTCTGGCTGTATCTGTATGCTGTATGCCGTATGCTGTATGCTGTATCTGTGTTTGTTTCTCTTTTGTTTGCCTACTTGCGACTCGCCCAGCAGCTAAGCCAACAACAAATTTCCACCTGGCCAAAGTGAAGAAGCAGAGAAATGTGCCGCGTTCTGCCGCCAGCGGCAGAGATGAGCAGCTCCAACACGTCCACGTCTCGCGTTTTCGTACACCCCACACACCACACACTCTTCGTCAGGGGGCAAGACAAACAAAACAGAACCAAAAAAAAGTGCCCCAAAAAGAGATATGGAAACGGCAATAAACAATAACCAACAGCTGTCAGGCGCCTATCGATAGCGCTGAGTGCCATATCGATACTTGTATTTAGCGGTATGCCAAAAACGAGTAGTGTGAGCGAGACAAATATATGCAGGTCATTCAACGTTGCTGCTGCTGCAGCCACAGCAAGCACTTCAGCAAAAATGCAACTTCGTCAAACCTGCGCTATCGACAGTGGACCGATAAATGATGCTCGCTGGTGGTGGTGTCGAAGCAGTCGATGACTGCCGGCGCCTATTTTGAAACAGTTTTCACCCACTTCCGTTTAAAATGACTAAAGCAAATAAAGTAAAGTCCGTTATTATTTGTTTAATTTTAATAATATTTTCTACACACCAAAGATGATCCCAATTTTGAATAAAAAAATCAATTGCTAGCTAATAATTTACAGGACAAACCTTTTGCAAAAAAAAAAAGAACTTTTAACAAGAATCAAAAATCAGAACGCTCAATGCTGAATTCACTGAATTTTGCGAATGAAAAAGTCCTAGTCCTAGACACAGAAAAAATCATGGCTTATATAAATTTTAAATTAAAAAAAAAAATTGCTCACACGGAAGAAAGTTTTCGGGTTCAAGCAGTTGTCAGGCCGTTCAAGCAGTATGCAAGATTCAAGCAGTTTTCCGGGTTCGAGATTGGCTTATTGCAGAACAATAAAATGAAGATACACAATTGAGATCAAAGTTTTTATTTATTTTGTATTCCCTATTTTCCTTTGGTTTAGTTTCTTTGAAAACCCCCGCTAAAAAGGCTGGCGATAAATTTGATGGATACATTTTATCGCACTTACCTGTCATCATGTGAAGCGGAAAATGGGTTAATCACGACACGCAAAAATGAGCTTTCCTGTTTCAAAATTGTATTTATTTTATATTGGTATATAATGGTATATTTCATATGTTTTCTGGTATATTAGGGTATATTTCTGTTGGTCATATGGTACCAGGGTGACCGTTTAAGCCTAGTACTCAGATCGAAAGCAAGGGGCCGCTAGAATAATCCGGGATGATATTCGTATGGAATCGAAAAGATATGTTGTCGCGCACAAGTTACTTCAGTTGCTTCATGACCGTTGGTTTTCGAAATAAATGTGACCAAACGTAAAATATCCCAAAAAAATATCAATATACTGATATTTTGGCAAAAAAAATATCACTTATATCGTATTATTTTGAAAAAATATCGATATATTGATATTTTGATATACAACCTTAGCCGACCATTTAAAACGGGACAGGAATGGAAATTGAACATGTTAATTTTCCTGTTCAACTAAAACAAATTTTTTTGCTGTTATAATTTTTTTTCTGTTATTCGGAAGCGCAAAAATTAAGATAAGTGCGTGCGCGTGCAAACGAGAAACCGTAGAAATAAAGTGAAAAATAGAGAGAGAGAGAGCAAAAATTGTGAGCGAATCAACAAGGAAAGAAGAATGAGCGATGATGAGGAGAAGAAGCAGTGGAGGCAGTAAAAAAACTGCGAATACTGCTTGTGAAGTGACAACAACAAAAGCAACAGCAGCAACAAGAAATATACACATAAAAAACATAAATAAATACAATATATGACACAAAAAATTTCATAAAAACAGCGCAAAAAAGCAGTAAAAGCACAGAAATATCAACAAAAGCAACACCAAAATTAACTTAAAAAAACAAAAAAAACAACAAAAACTGTGAATCCGTATACACACACAGGCACACGCACGCACACAAAAGCGCCTGCCTAGAGACTGTGCAGGTGTGTTAGTGTTTAGAGAGAGGAGAGCGCGTGTCTGTTTTATTTTAATATTTTTTCGCATTGTGAAAAACGTTTTTTTCTTCATCAAAACCAAAAACATTAAAACTACAACAACAACAACAACCAGCAGAGAGACATCAAGCAAGCGAACAAGCAGTTTTTGCACCACTTGACAGAGGTACCGTATGTATTTTATGTATTTTTGTTTCACTAAGCTCAGCTGCTGTCGTCGCTGCCATGCCGCAATAATATCAAAGAGCAGAGCGGCAGTAGAGCAGCTGACGACTTCTTTTTTTGCTGCTTCTTGTTGCTTCTCACTCGATTCGCCGTTATTTATGTAACAAGTGTGTGCGTGCTAAATGATGTGTTGCTCTCTCTCTCTCTCTCTCTCTGCCTCTACCTCTGGCCACTGTCTCCAACCCTATGTTGATTTGATTGTTGTTTTCTCTTCCCCCTGATATCCCCCACCCCCTTAATTTTGTAAGTGCTGTTCCCAGCCCAGAGCCAGCAGCTGCCACCCCAAAAAGCTACAACGCAAAGCGCATTGAACTGGTTTATGCTCTCTGCTGCCTGCCGCCGCTTCTTCTTCCACTTGGCTATCAGCATTGACAATGATGCCAGCAGCGGGCATCAGAAGCAGCAGCAGCAGCAGCAGCATGGCAGCGTGGCGACGCAGTCCAGAGCAGAGCCAAAGCAGAGCTCTGCTCTGAATATACGAAGCATCAAGCGGGCGACTGTAATGGAGAACAAAGGAGGGGGTAATCTCTTATCGTGCGGGGATAGATGTAACAGACCGGGCAGAGTCCCCCTCGAAGAAAGTACATAGATCTTGGCTGCTGCCAGATTAGGGAAAAGACAAATACAAATAATTCTCCCTTCCACCACTTAATTTCTAACAAATCTTGGATCCACATGCTGCAGATTACAGATAATAATACAATGTACATAAATGTAATGTTCGTGTAATCCATCATCCCCAATTGGGATTCCATTTTGGCGCTAAATCAACACGTGGAATGCACCT